GCATCATGGACGTACGGGCGACGTCCATGACCATGCCAATGCGGCGCTCAGCAATCCCATTTTGCTGTGGAGAGTCCGGAAGCGTGAAGGTCTGGCGGATGCCTCGTGCACGACAGTAGGCTCGCAGAAGGCCAGAGGAGAACTCTCCACCTCTGTCAGAGTGCAGACGCAGAACAGGAAAGTCCGAGCCGAAGCTCTGCCTGAGCTGGAGACGAGCTGCGCGGATCCAGTCGATCAACACCTCAGTGACATCACCCTTGCTGCGCAAGGGGAAGACTGTGGTGTAACGCGAGTAGTCGTCAACCACCAGCAGGAAGTAGCGCTCGTGACCCTATCCACGGACGCGGGCCGGGCCCCACACGTCCATGTGAAGCGTCTGCAGCGGGGCCTCTGTCGGAGGAAACTCGGAGGAGTGAGGGGCAGCCCGCTGCCGCCCCTCGACACAAGGGACGCAGGTAGGGCCTGGCCCCGGAGGAAGGGGAGGGAGGGACCGGGGAAGACCAGAGACAAGGACACGGGAGGCCATGCCTCGGAGACGAAGCAGGGAGGGGTGACCAAGGCGGTGGTGCCAGAGGAGAGTCTCGTGCGACAGGAGGCGACACGAACAGGGGGCAGACTCAGGACCAGACCTGGACGCTGCAGCAAACACCTGACCCGACGCAGTGACTGGAGGAGACGCAGTGGTCAGTGTGTACAGGCTCGACCCCGGCCGACGTGTAAACGTGGCCAGGTGTCGGCCTGTCCGAGCGTCCGTGCAGTGGGTCACCCGCTGACTCGCAGGAGTGAACTGGTGAACCCCCGCATCCTGTAGGTCAGCACCACTCACCAAGTTCGTAGAGAACGAGGGGAGGTAAAGACCAGACAGGGTGCCAGAGGGGGCCGCCGGACACGGGAGGACAGTGGAGAAGTGAGCAAGGACAGGACCCCCAGAGGGGTCTGCCAGAGAGACTGCAACTGGCCGGCCAAGCGGCGTGAGTGTGGTGCGGTCTCGAAAGAAGGAGCGAGAAGCCCCCGAGTCAAGGGTGAAGGTGTGGGAGGCCGAAGCCGACGCAGTACCTGAGAGAGCAGACTCACCAGCACCTGAGGGAGCAGACACACGAGCACCTAGAGCAGCAGCCTCGCTAGCACCTAGAGCAGCAGCCTCACCAGTACCTAGAGCAGCAGTCTCAATGCCCGGGTCGGGCGGAAAACACCGGTAATAGTCACCCTCATCACTAATAGTCACAGCATACATGGCAGCAAGAATAGCATCAAAGTCAAGGTCAAAGACAGCTACACCCGCCCTAGACAGCTCGCCCCAGCGGGGGATCTCAGTGGCCTCAGGGAACTGGTGACACCAAGCGTCCGTCAGGCGGCCAAAGCAGCGCTGGGTGGAGTGCGCACCCCCGCACTGCTCACCCGCGCGGTCGCCGGTGCGTAGGACGTAGGTGCACGGACCAGTACCCCCACCCCGCTGGCGTGCAGCGTACCACTCACGGAGCTGCTGAGGGGGGGGGATGTCACGAGTGCGCTGCTGCCGCTGCTGCTGCTGCTGCTGGCGCTGACCACCACCGGAGCCGACCCTCTGCGCAGCGCCACCCCGACCAGCTCCACCTCCTCCGCCGCCGCCTCCTCCACCGCCGCCACCTCCGCCACCTCCGCTCCCACCGCCACCGCCGCCGCCGCCTCCGCCTCCACTGCCGCCACCGACACCTCCACCCCCGCCACCACTCCCACCACCACCCCCACCCCCTCCACTGCCTCCACCGCCACCTCCGCCACCCCCGCCAACCCCTCCAGCACCCTTGCCCCCCTTGCCCTTGCCGGTGCGGCGTCTCCTGCTCGGGGCAGACGCAGCGCCGACCGACTCGAAACCAACGAGGTCGGCCGCAGCAGCAGAGGCAACAGAGGGCAAAAGGGGGGAGGGGGAACACCCCTCAAAGACGGGGGTGCGAGGGTCACCACGAGAGGCTCCTACAGCGACTATGCTCTTCTCTGCTGCTAGGAGGGCCTTCTCGAGGAGGTCAACGGTGAGAGTGGTGGGGCAAACTGAGAGGAAGTGGTCCCTGACTACGCGAAGGGAGTCAGGGAGCCGGGTGACTATGTAGTAGAGGGTGATGTACATGGGGGGGGGGTTCTTCGCCCAGAATTCAGCAGGAAGCGCAGCGCGGTAGCGAGTGTCACTAGTGCGGAGGTGCGTAATGAGGTCAGCGACTGTGGGAAAGGCAGCAAGGTCAGGGAAGAGGTACGGTAGCATGAGGCGGCTCAGTGCAGCAGTGGCAGGGGAGGAGTAGCGCGCAACTACAGCGTCGTACAAGGTGTGAGCACTCTTGTACTGGCTAAAGTGCGCACGCTCAGAGGTAGGCAGGTGGCGACGCACAGCAAGACGTGCAGCAGCATCGCATGTGGCCCACTGTGAGCGAACAGTGGCGTCGGCATCAGCAGCAGGGGCAGGAGAGGCACCAGAGGTGAGGTCAAAGAGGGAGAGACCGTCTGCCCTATCGCACTGTAGGAAAAGCTGCATGTCATCTACCCAGACGTCAAAGTCAATGGCCCGACCCTCAGCGTCAAAAGCGAGGACACTAGGGGTAGCCATGACAGTAGTGGACTAGCAGCGCGAACAGTAGGGTAAGGGCAGTGCAGTGACAGAGGCGCTGCTCTTACCGGACAGGGCGGCTCGGGCGGCTCGGCGGATCGGCGGGTCGGCAACTCGGCGGCTCGGGCGGCTCGGGCGGCTCGGCGGTACGGCGGCTCGGCAGCAACTGCGGCTCGGCGACTCGGCGACTCGGGCGGCTTAGGCGGCTCGGCGGTACGGCGGTTCGGCAGCAACTGCAGCTCGGCGGCTCGGCGACCCGGCGGCTCGGGCGGCTCAGGTGGCGCGGCGGCTCGGGCGGCTCGGGTGGATCGGGCGGCTCGGCAGTAGCTCGGCGGCGCCGGCGGCTCGGTGGTGACGGCGGGGCCGCGTGGGGACGGCGGCGGGGCCGGGTGGAGCGGCGGCGAGGCCGGGTGGAGCGGCGTCGGGGCCGGGTGGAGCAGCGTCGGGGCCAGTAGAGGCGGCGCCGGGGCCGGGAAGGGCAGCTCCGGGGCCGCAGGGGTAGGCGACGGGGCCAGCAGAGGCGGCGCCGAGGCAGGGAAGGGCGGCGCCGGGGCCGCAGGGGTAGGCGACGGGGCCGCGAGGGCGGCTAGGAGGGGGGGGGGGTCGCGAGGGCGGCTTGAAGAGGCCGCGAGGGCGGCTAGAAAGGGCCGCGAGGGCGGCTAGAAAGGGCCGCGAGGGCGGCGTGAAAGGGCCGCGAGGGCGGCGCGACACGAAGGAGCCGCGAGGGCGGCGGATCGGGGCCGCGAGGGCGGCGCGACGCGGCCGCTAGGGCGGCGCGATGTGAAGGGGCCGCGAGGGCGACGCGACGGGGCCGCAAGCGCGACGCGACGGGGCCGCTAAGGCGGCGCGACAGGGTCGAGAGAGGGGAGCGCGACTCGGGCAGTGGAGAGCGCGCTCCGGGCAGGAAAAAAAAATGTGGTGGGCCCTAGGAACAGTTCCCACAGGGGAACCTGCTCGATACCATGAGAAACTGAACGAGAATGAATTGACTAAGGGAAAGTTGGGTACAAATGTAAACCCTAGAAAACTGTACCCCATATGTGCTACCCCACTATAGCCTACAGTAGCTATGTCATATAAATCTGACAGAACGAGGACTGCGTGGCCCACCTGGATTCTCTATTCCAGATGTTCCACGTGGGTGAGAGGCGGGAGGTGCTTCCTGGTGAGATGCGGATGGGAGCTTACGATTTTGCAGCAAGCGTAACCATGATCTAACCTTTGTATTTATGCCCTCTAGCATTTGAGCTATGATACAGGGGTGGACAAACGATTGGCGAAGGAGGAGCTCAGGACCCTGGTGCATGTACTCCATTGAGCTCCTCGTGAAAAACGAAGCTTCCACGATGGCCCGACAGCAATTCTCAAGACAGGCGATTGGGAGAGAAGCTACCCGAACCTTGTGAAGCTATGGGTAGCAGTCGCGGTCCTGCCCTACAGTGGAGTGTGAAAGGGGATTCAGCAGGCAAAATATAATCAAAAGCTGGCACAGGATGAGCCTGTGCAATGAAAAGCTTGGCGACCTTATCTGCCTGAGCATGCTGGAGTATGCGATGGAGTGGGATGAGGTGGTGAAGTTATGGCGCAGAAGCAAGAAGCGCCGGCCCACCCACAAGAAGGATTACCAACGCGAGCAGCAGCAGCAACATCGGCGGGACAAGGGCAAGGAGAAGGTCATAGAGCTAACCGATTCAGATGAGGAGAGCAGTAGCAGGAGCATCAGCAGATGGGGAGAACTACTAGGCTGGTTGGTAGAGTGCAATGCAGTGCATAGAAGTTTGTGAATAGTGAACCTGACAACTAGGTAGGAGTTTCTAGCAACCTGCTGTAACAACGTGAATAAAATGAACTTATAGAATTCGAAAAACCAATTCAGGGCGACAAAATAAAATGCCCTGATGCTTCAGGGTTGAGTTCTGGGATGCCCTGAGGAATCAGGTCACCGAGAGGGCTCTGCCCCGAGGACGACATTTTTTTTTTAGCCATGCCCTGAGGGCTCAGGGTCCCAAATAGTGAATCATAGGCCCTAGCGACGGGCCTGGTGCCGAGGTTGGGAATTGTCGAGGCGGAGGGCTGGAGTGCGGGTTACCAACCGGACCGTGAGGTTGGGTCGCGATGTGAACAGTGGCGGGAACAGTGGTCGAGGCGAGTGTCGCGTGTGGTAACGTTTTACTGTTGGGTGCTCTTGGCGAGAATAGTCTTGTTCGCGGTATGCAGGGGCACAAAGTAAGGAAAGGAGTTTAGCTTAGAGCGAGTATAGGAATGTTCCTCACGATCCACCACGGTGCTTTTGTGCTGCAGATGTGAAGCACCAGAACCAGTCACGGCGACACAACCAACAGATTACTACACGACTCTTTGCCACATCTTCAGCACCATTTCCTTCACCTTTTTCACAATTTGAGCAGATATATTTTAGATTGCAATGCATTCAGGGCCGAATCGCTGCATCCTCCCGCGGCTGCGGTGGTGGATGCGGCGGCAGTGCTTTCGCGAGCTGCTGCTGCTCGTGCTCGTGCTGTCGGCGAGCAGCGGCGCGCGCGGCGTGCGGTTCACGCTGGACCGGAAGGAGTGTCTGACGGAGTACGTCAACTGGGTGGGCGACGTCGTGCACGGCAACTTCGTCGTCGTTAGCGCCGACGCGTGGGGCGACTGGGAGCAGAACGGCGTCGACCTGGTGGTGAGTGGAACGTACGGCGTTGACCTGGTGGTGAGTGGAACGTACGGCGTTGACCTGGTGGTGATTGGAACGTACGGCGTTGACCTGGTGGTGAGTGGAACGTACGGCGTTGACCTGGTGGTGAGTGGAACGTACGGCGTTGACCTGGTGGTGAGTGGAACGTACGGCGTTGACCTGGTGGTGAGTGGAACGTACGGCGTTGACTCGTGCAGATAGTGACGTTCGGGTCAACCGCTCACGGCGGCAGGTGTGGTACCTGCTGGCCAGTCCACCTGCCGCGTGCTCCCAGTGCTTTCAGTGCTTTCAGTGCTTTCAGTGCTCCCAGTGCTTTCAGTGCTTCCAGTGCTTTCAGTGCTTCCACTGCTTTCAGTGCTTCCAGTGCTTTCAGTGCTTCCAGTGCTTTCAGTGCTTTCAGTGCTTTCAGTGCTTCCAGTGCTTTCAGTGCTTTCAGTGCTTTCAGTGCTTCCAGTGCTTCCAGTGCTTCCAGGGCTTCCAGTGCTTTCAGTGCTTTCAGTGCTTTCAGTGCTTCCAGTGCTTTCAGTGCTTTCAGTGCTTTCAGTGCTTCCAGTGCTTCCAGTGCTTTCAGGGCTTCCAGTGCTTCCAGTGCTTTCAGTGCTTTCAGTGCTTTCAGGGCCTCTCAGTGCCTCGCATGTGGGGAAGCGTTGCTGTTGCGACAATCTTCCCTGTGCTCCACGCTCACAGCCCCCGCGCCATCGTCCTACCTCCCCCCCCCCCTCCCCTTCCGCTCCCACCGCTCCACTCCCCCCATTGTGTGCGGTGCGCAGATCAGCGACCCGGACGGGTACACGGCGTTCTCCACGGAGGCGCAGACGCAGGGCAAGTTCGAGTTCATGTCGCAGCGCGAGGGCGACTACCGCTTCTGCTTCTCCAACAAGTGCGCGTGGGGGGGGGAGGGAAGAAGGGGACGAGGTAGAGGGATAGGGGGAAAAGAGGGTGGAAAGGGGGGAGTGAGGATGAGGGGGTCGGAGGGCAACACTGAGGTGAAGGGGGTGGTGGCGAGTGGCATGGGAGGGAGGCGAGTGGTAAATGCTGGCCTGGCTTTAACGATAACCTAACATGTCTCCCTCGCCCGTTCCCTCCTGCCCACCCGCCTGTGCTGCATGGGGGGGGGGGCGGGGGGAGCAGGTCGCCGGTGTTTGAGACGGTGTCACTGGAGGTGTTTGTGGGCCACCAGGTGCAGCCCCACGAGATCGCCACCGACGGTCAGTCTCACTCAACCACTCCTCCATCCCTCTCCTGCCTTATCTTCTCCCTGCGCTCTTTTCTCTTCAGCATTCATGTTTCGTTCGCATTTCTTCTCTCTGATTCCCTTCTCCCTGCACCTTCTATTCCAGTGTTTTCTGTCCCGTGCCACCTCGTAGCAAAGCAGTGTCTCCAGGGTCTCATTGTGCAAATGCTTGCCTGCCGCACAAACTGCCCTTGCCACTGCTGTGCCCACGTGCTCTCATCATGCCACTCATCACCATGTGCTGCTGCCCTACTGCACCTTCACTCCACCCGCTCCTCCCCCTCAGAGCACATACTGCCCATAGTGACCAAGCTCTCAGGGCTGCACAACCACATCACCAGTGTGTACTTGGAGGCCAAGTGGTTCCACGCGCAGGCCGAGCGCCAGAACCAGCGTGAGCGCCTCACCATGCCACCATGCCACCACCTATGTTTCTTTGACAGCCATATATTTGTACCTGGTTCTTTGGATGCATTTGCATTCTTGTTACTTGCCACGCGCATCGTCCAAGGCACACGCTGCACACCCTCTTGCTCGCACACTCTGCTCTCCATCGTCACATGTGCTCCACCCCCCGCCCCCCCCCGCCACCTCTCCCCTCCCCCCACCCCCCCGGTGCCACGGTGGCCGCCGTGTGCAGTGGCGCAGGCCACGACGCGCAAGCTGGTGGTGAAGACGGCCGTGCAGTCACTCGCCCTCATCACCTGCTCCTTCCTGCAGGCACGCCCCCTCCCACTCCCCTCACACGCTCCACCCCCCTGCATTTCCCTCCACTATGCACGCACGGCACGGCACGGTAGCATGCAGACCCACTCTCCTCACTGGATGCGCTCACCCCATCCTCCTCTGCAGGTCTACCTCTTGAGGCGCCTCTTTGAGAAGAAGCTTGGAAGGACAATGGTGTGAATGGTCCACTGGCTTAGTAGGAAAGCATCACAGAGGAGCTAACCGGAAGTTGAAGGGCGTGGCGCACCCACATGCGAATTCGTGACAACGTTCAACTAATGGCAGGGTTACTGTGTTGGTCGGATCCGACAAGACCCTTGTCAATTTGCGAGAACCAATACGGTAGCAGGGAAACATGGCAGGCACGCCTGGAACAGGGTGTATGAACAGTGTACCCCGTGCGGTTCGCACATTGTGTTCATTGCACATGGTTTGTGCCCGGAACTGCAGTGCGGCACTTAGCGTCTGATACCGTAACACACCGAGCAAGAAGGGTAGAGGATGTCTTCGCCTTGGCATAATTCATCGCACGTCAGTCATCGCATTAGGCGGTGATTTGGGGAAACGCACTTGGTTCCGTAGATGCTCGTTAATTGTGTATTCGAATGCTTGTACAGGTAAGACCTTGCTCAATTGTGAAAATAATAAGTGCTCTTATAATATGGGTAGCTTTGGTATGCATCGCGTCCTTAGCTTTCTTATGAGCATGTGGTGCTGGTGGGTGTCGAAGCATTTCCTATTGGAGACGAGTTCACTCAGAAGTCGGAGTCTTCTCGTTTCCTAGCACCCGAATTCGAGATCATTCCTCCCTCTCCATTTCGCCGCACATTGCATCGCATCCACCCCCTCCATCCGCCATTCCGTCGTACCTCGCGACCAGGTTATTTACAACCTTAGCATCCATACTGTCGTGACTAGTTTAATCGAATTCCTCGCGAGTCGTAATTGTCGCGCATCAGCGGGCAGCATGGTGAAGGGCAAGAAGATTCTCTTCATCGTGGGCGACTACGTCGAGGACTACGAGGTACGCCGCCGCGCCACTGCGTCCCACCCGCTGTTTCCATCGTCTAAATTGCATCGCGGCATCGTAATTTTGTGTCGGAAATAGGCTCGCCAGGCTGCACGCGCGCGTCGATTGCCCGCGATGATCGGCGAGCTGACGCGCTGCGCGTGGTGGTGGGCGTGCATGGCGCGCAGGTGATGGTGCCGTTCCAGGCGCTGATGGCGTTCGGCTGCAACGTGGACGCCGTGTGTCCCGGCAAGAAGGAGGGCGACGTCTGTCGCACCGCCGTGCACGACTTCGTCGGCGATCAGGTGCGCGACTGTCGCTGGCTGGCTGGCAGCCGCCACTCCTCGCCGCGTGCTGCACAATACTACTACTGCTTTAATTGCACTCAGTATACGTGCGTACTCGGGACCATGCGCTGCTGTTAAGCTTTACGGTATCAAATTTAACTATCATGTAACGCCTGCGTTCGAGTGTTACGGGCCGCTGCGCCTCGAATAACACCCGCGTTTTGACCCACTGTGTAGCCAGGCGTTATACTCATGACTCACATAATTGACGTACAGATTCGCAGAGGAAGTCCAGAAATTTGTTAGGTTGGCCAGTTTAGAACAATCAGTCAATAATTCTCTCACCCACTGCTCCAGTAAAATCTGTGAATCCCCGTGGTCTAATCTTCTATCGACATATCCACCTCCCGCCTCCCATTCCCCACTCCCACTGTGCACCACGCACGGCCACGTGTCACAGACGTACGCGGAGTCGCGGGGGCACAACTTCGTGCTGAACGCCACGTTCGACGAGGCGCGGTGCGACGCGTACGACGCGCTGGTGGTGCCGGGCGGGCGCGCGCCCGAGTACCTGTGCACCGACGGCCGCGTCACGGCGCTCGTGCGCGACTTCCACGCCGCCCGCAAGCCCATCGCCTCCATCTGCCATGGCCAGCTCGTGCTCGCCGCCGCTGACGTGCTCAAGGTGCGCGTGGCGAGGGGAGCGAGGCCATGAGGTGGAGAGTGGGTGTACTTGAGCAGTCCCCCAGCAGTCCCGCCTCAGCATGTGAGCGGGGGAGCATGTGAGAGAGTGATAGCGTACGTGTGTGAGAGCGTGAGAGTGTGAGAGCGTGATTGTGAGCGTGAGAGTGTGAAAGCGTGAGAGCGTGTTAGAGTTTGTGGGTGGGGCATCGCTCCCTCTCACGGCCACTCCCTCTTGACGCCATCCCGAGTTGTGCCGCTCCCGTGTGCTGTGTGGTGCGTGGAGTGCATGGGGGGTGCATGGTACGAGCATGGCAGGGCAGCAAGTGCACGGCGTACCCGGCAGTGAAGCCGGTGGTGGAGCTGGCGGGTGGGCAGTGGGTGGACGCCGACCCCATCTCCGCCTGCCTCTTCGACGACCAGTGCGCCCCGGGGGGCATGGCCAGGGGGGGCGCGGGGCATGGGGGGTTGGGGCCATGGGGGTGGGGGGGCATGGAGGGCTGGGAGGCCGAGAGAGTTGGCTGGGGGGGATTGGGTGGCGGGGGGGCATCGGAAGGGGGGGGGAGAGTCATCCGGCGGGGGCGGGGATGCGGGGCTGGTGGGGACCACCCTCACTCCCTCCGTCACCCTCAGTCCCCCCATCACCCTCACTCCCTCCGTCACCCTCTGTCCCCCATCACCCTCACTCCCTCCGTCACCCTCAGTCCCCCCATCACCCTCACTCCCTCCGCACTCACCCCTCCCACGCTCCTCTCACCTCCTCTCTGCCGCTCCCCTACGCGCCTCTCCCCCCCGTGCCACCAGGCACAATCTGATAACGGGCGCGGCATGGCCGGGGCACCCGGAGTTCCTGTCGCTGCTGCTGCTGGCGCTGGGCGCCAAGGTGCACGGCAGCGACAAGCGCGTCCTCATGCTCGCAGGGGTGAGCTGCCAGGGGTGAGCTGCCAGGGGTGAGCGGTGCGGGGTGCTGCTCATGCTCCGCGGTGTCAGAGCCAACGCTGCTGCATGCTTGTGCTCTGAGGCTTGAAGGTTCAAAATGTTTGAAGTAAGAGCGTAGGGTTTTGGCTTCTTTGGTGTTGGGCCTGAGATCAGGGGGTGTCATGTGTGGGTTCGATGTGTGGGGGATGCTTGGATCAACAACCGAGGTTTTGAAATCATGGCCTAACATGTTGCCTTCTCTCCGCGTGCGTCTTGCGTGGTGCCCCGTATCTGCCCTGGCGGCGGGGGCGGGCAGGACTTCATGGAGGACTACGAGGCCATGGTGCCCATGCAGGCGCTGCAGGCGCTGGGCTACCGCGTGGACGCCGTGTGCCCTGAGAGGCGCACAGGGGACGTGTGCAAGACGGCCGTGCACGACTTCGAGGGCGACCAGGTGCGCGCCCTGCCCACTCGCTGTCATACAGTGTCAAAGGGAAGGCAGCATGGAAAGGGTTGGGCTGCAGGTTGGCGATGAAAACATTTGTTTCATCTTGTCATCTTGTCATCTTGGTATGGCTGACCACTGCCGGCCGTGCAGACATACACGGAGAAGCCGGGGCACAACTTTGCGCTGACGGCGGACTTTGAGAGCGTGAGGGTGGACGACTACGACGCCCTGCTGCTGCCGGGTGGGCGCGCCCCCGAGTACCTGGCGCTGAACGCGCGCGTGCTGGAGGTGGTGCAGCACTTCCATGCCGCCCGCAAGCCCATCGCCTCCGTGTGCCATGGCCAGCAGATCCTCGCTGCTGCGGGCGTGCTCAAGGTGCGTGTGGGGCAAGGTGGGGTGGGTGGGTGGGGCAAGGCAACGTGTGTGTGTGGGTGAGCGGCAGAAGCTGGGATGGGAACAAGGAGTGGCAGCAGAGGGGTGCACCGCACCACCACCCACTGTGTCCATCTCTGCTTCCCTTAATCTCCCCGTCCCTTTGCTCTGTGTGCGTGGCAGGGCATGCGGTGCACGGCATACCCGGCAGTGAAGCCAACGGTGGTGCTGGCGGGCGGCGAGTGGCAGGAGCCGGACCCCATCTCGCGGTGCTTCCAGGACGGGCACCTCATCACGGGCGCTGCATGGCCCGCCCACCCCGAGCTCATCAGCCTGCTCATGGCCGCCCTCGGCACCACCGTCACTACTTGACCGCTCACTGCCGTGCCTTCGCCAGCACAAACATGCCACCGCACACTGTGAAGGACGAATGAACTCTGCTCCAGTACAAACTGGTCAAGAAGGGAGTGTAAAAATACCTTTTTAAATAACAAGGCAGAAGGCCACAGAACCTTACGGAGTTTAGGGCGGGTCCTCTTAAAAATAGCTACGAAGTGTCGAGACTATGGTTCGAGTGAGTAGGAACAATGAGATACCGTACAAGTGTCGACCTAGAGGCTAATTGAGGGGCATCAAAGCAATCAAGGGAAACAAAGGGTCACAAGACCAGTTAAGAGAAATAACACAGCAAGCTCAGGGTGGATCATGAAGTTACCATACAATCTGAGTACAAGCAAAGGGCTACAAGGCCAGTTCAAGAGTTCACAAAACGGTATGTATAGATACAGGAACAAGCAGAGCAAGCAACAGGAAGCAAGTCTACAATAACTGAACACCAGCGTCAACAAGCCCTAGCTGCACATAGACCCTGTGGTGGTCACCAGGCGCCAAGGCCTTGGTGAAGACGTCGGCAGCGTTGGCCTCTGAGGCCACAAAGTCCAAGCGTGCCTGGCCGCGTCGCTGCAACTCACGCAGGAGCAAATACCTCATGTCAATGTGCTTCACTCTGCTCTCAAGTCGAGGGTCTCGTGTAGGCGGCCCTGGAGAAACGCAGTGGAGAAGTCGAGAGAGTGCAGCTCGTAGTCTCGCTGTACAGCTACGTGAAGTAACACCCGAAGAGTCGACATCTTCGGGGTCGGGGCGAAGGTCTTGAAGAAGTCAACCCCCTCACGCTGACTGAAGCCCCTAGCCACGTAGTGCGCCTTGAACACAGACGGTGATCCCGGCGGCCGCTTCACCTTGAAGAGCCACATGCCATCGACAACGTTCGCCCTGAGAGGGGGAATTGCGTCGACGTAGGTGCCTAAGGATCTCCAAGAAGCCAACTCAGAGTCCATGGCCGCTTTCCATTAAGAGGCCCACTCGCCTGACACTGCCTCACGGTACGTGCGAGGAGTCGGTATGTCAAGGGCGTCGGGGTCTCCCTCAGGGGAAAGCAGCATGGCACAAACAGAGGGAGAAGCGGCTGCCAAGAACTCTACCTCAAACGGCCTGTCCTCTAGGACGTCACAGCTAAGGGCAGCCTCACCCCCGACGGACAGAGGACGGGCAGCCACCACACGCGCGGCGTAGTCAAGGCGGCGGGTGGTAGTAAAGTCACCGACATCGGCAGGAAGAGCCAAGACAGACGACGGAGAGGCACGAGGGTCGGTGACAAGAGAGGCGAGGACACGCGAGACAACAGGGCGAGCAGCACGGTAGTAGTCAAAGATATGAGTAGAGGAGACAGTGAGAGACGACTCAGGAGGTGACGGGAGAAAAGACGCAGGTGGAGAACGGCGACGACTAGAAGAAAAGAGGGCAGTGCGGAGGTTGTCAGTGGGAGAGGAGGGACGAGCACGCGGAGGACAAGGACGGACACGTTAGTGCGAGACAACGGGAGGAGGAGACGGGGACCGAGGAGGAGGAGAAACAGCGGGTGACGCGTCCGGAGGAGGAAACGTAGGTCCGAAGGCAAGGGGAGACTGGGAGCGGACAGGAAAAGAGGAGGGAAGAACAAGGCCACTCACGGCTGGGAACAACTGCCGCACAAGAGGCAGCTGCGGCGGCTGCTGCTGCTGCTGCTGATGCTGCTGCTGGTGCTGCTCCTCCTCCTCCTCCTGCTGCTGCTCCTGCAGGTCCAACCGCTGCAGCTCCCGCCTCTCCTGCTCCAACCGCTCCTGCTCCTCACGCTCACGGCGGCGAGCCGCCTGGAGACGTGTGTCGTGGCGGTGGGGAGGCGCAGTAGTAGTGCCTCCAGCGCCAGTCTCCTCAGAACTACCACCTCCAGCTCCAGTACCCCCAGAACTTGCACCTCCAGTGCCCGCACCTCCTGCTCCAGCACCCCCAGAACTAGCACCTCCAGTGCCAGCACCTCCAGCTCCAGCACCCCTCAAAAGAGCACCCCCAGACCGAGCACGTCCAGTGGCAGCACCTCCAGCTCTAGCACCCCCTCAGTCCATAGTAACCTGTCACGGAAGTGCCGAAGGCTGCTGAGGGAACTGTGAGGAGGACTGCGGGGAGGGAGTCGCTACCTGACACGCGACCGAGGGTAGAGGGGTAACGTGAGACACACCTGACGGGGCAGGACCAGGGGGGGGGCGGGGGTATCGGAGGAGCGGGAGCAGGAGGAGGAGAGGGCGCGAGGAATAGCGGAGGAGGGGGGACCGTGAGACCTTGACAGGGGTACCGGGTGTAGTAGGACACGGACTCGTCAAACCGGACGTTCCGGGAGTCGAGGAACTGGTGGAGGGGCGGGTGGTAAAACGAAAAGTCAGGAGAGTTCACCGGGAAACCAAGGAAGACACAGGGGATGGCGCGAGCCGAGAGCTTATCCGCCGAGGTGTCGCGAACAAGCGCAAGGCAGCCCCAGACGTGAAACTCCGACGCAACACCAGGGGACCCGGTCCAAAGACTGGTCGGTGAATCCCCTGTTCGTGAGACACGAGGCCAGATGTTCAGCTGGTGGGCGGCGTAGCGAACCGCATAGGGCCAAAAAAAATGGGGCGCACACGCATGGATCATGGAGGTGCGGGCGATCTCCATGACCAAGCCAATGCGGCGCTCAACAACCCCATTATGCTGTGGGGACTCAGGAAGCGTCCAGGACTGTGTGATGCCCTGCTCGCCGCAGAACCCGGCAAGCACGCTGGAGCGGAACTCACCCCCACGGTCGGAGTGGAGACAACGGACACGACTGCCACGGGTGCGCTCCGTGGCCAGGAGCTACCGGATCAGCGTAGAAGTCACCTGAGACTTCTTTGCAAGAGGAAACACCGTGGTGTACCTGGAGTAGTCGTCAACGACCACTAAAAATAAGCGCTCCCGCTCGGGACCGGAACGAGGGGCTGGGCCCCAGACGTCCAAGTGGAGGGTCTGGAAGGGAGCAGTGGCCGAACGAAGGGAGCAGGAGTGAGGAGTAGCGCGCAGCCGACACTCGACGCAAGGAGTGCAGGGCAGCGCAGGCGAACGAGGGAGCGACTCAAAAACACGCGGGAGACCTGAGACAAGAAGCTTGCTAACCATGCTGCGGAGGCGCGGGAGGGACGGGTGACCAAGAAGCTGGTACCACAAGACTATCGGGTGAGAGAGTGAACGGCAAGAGCAAGACACAGCAACCAGACCGGACACAACCACCTGACCGGACACCGCAACCTGACTGGACACAGCAAACTGAGGGGACGCAGGGACCTGGGAGCGCTCAGTGTGCATAACGTAGAGACCGGAGCGAGCCTCCCTGGTGAACGTAGCAAGAATGACTCCGGTGGCAGCGTCCGTGCAGACCGCGGTCCTCCCGCCCCCGAGAAAGGTAATTGTGATCCCTCTATCCTGGAGGTATCCAACACCCACCACGTTTCGAGTGAACGAGGGGATGTGGAGACCTCGAATGACACCAGAAAGGACCACAGGGCACGGGACGGTGGTGGAGCTGCGCGCTACGGCTGGTCCTGAGCCCCTGCACCCCTGCACCCCTGCACTGAGCCTCTCTTGATGGAACTATCAAGGCCGCCATGGCCGTTCAGGCCCAACCTGGAACTCATCGCGCGTGCAACCTACGTGTCAGCTGCTCATAAAAACAACAGTTATCGACTATACATGTTACGACGGAGATCGATACTTCTTAAGTGTTCATCCGAGGAACATTGTATTGACCTCCAAATCTAACCTGTTGTTATCACAGCTAACTAAGTCCAAGGTTAATGTCACCAGCGCGCTACTCCCAGGGTCTAATATCAAGTGGCATGTCAGCAAAGTTCATCGCTATTGGCTAACCAGATTCTGGCATCTCAATCAAGGAGATCATTTCAAGGTTCTATCAGCATCGTCACAACATCAGCAACACGAACAATGGCTATCTTGCAGCATTACGGAACTGTATATGATCACCATGCTCAGACATCCGGCGGATCAGGCACTTTGAGCCTTATTCTCTACAAATCTGCCGGTCTTCAGTCATCATTGCATTATGCCTCGTGTACTTGCCAGGGGGAAGCAAGTGGTGGATGATACGGCTAAAGAGGTTTCAACTGGCCTTCCTACGACGCCTGATGCTCCAGCTACAGAGACAAATGTTTCTGCTGGTGCAACTGACAACCAGGCTGGGAGTTCTGGTCTCTCACCTGCCGAAAAGGCTACGACTCCGTCCCTGTTGTCGGCGGATGGCTTCCTGGAAGATGATTCAGATGAAGAACTCGACATTGACGTTCAGCAAGAAGCTGCTGCTCGTCTCCGTTTTACGGCAATCTTGCTGATCCCCTTCGCGCTGAAGCAGGAGATGGGTAAGATAATCAACATGGTGTGGATTCTGCTTCGGAAAGTCTGGATATCATCGCTGTCTCCTGGTGCTGTTGACTCGGTCGCGGTGCAGACCCTCCCTGCGACTTATGTCGCGAAACAACATTTCTGTCGTCTTCAAGTTTCGTTCCTACGTGAAGAGGACGCGGTGGCGGTCAGGCTGAAAGTGGTTGAGTATCAGAGGCCAAAAGGGAAGATAACTCTTGTTTGGCAGCACACGGAGGATCCAGCCTACATGAAAGAGAAGGCTTCTAATCCTGCAGTTATTGAGCTTTATTTCAAAGACGTACCGGCTAATGTCTCACCTGATTTGCTGAAGGATATGCTGTGCCGTTATGCACTGAAGATCCGCAAGCTGCCTGCCTTCGCCAAGGGCCTCTGCTTTCACCGCGTGGCTCACCCTGTCACGGGAGCTGATACGGACACGGTGAAGGGACTTGTGATCGCTCATCCGAATGATAATTATCGTTAGCGCCATGCTGTCAACAACCCCATGGACACCTCGAAGCAGATTCTTGTGCACTACCCCCTGCTATCCTGCACGTTCTGTAGCGGACACCATTATGACGAGTTTCATGATGTGTTCGTCACCGAACGTC